AATCGAGATCGAATCAAGTTCGAATTTTAGGTAAATCCGATTTGATTTGACTTGATATTATATAAAAAAATATTTTTTAATTTTTAATATATATTTATATTTTAAAAATAATATTTTATATTTTTAAAAATAATATTTTATTAATTTTAGATTAAATAGATCAGATCAAGTACGATTTATATAATATAAAATTTAAATATAAAATATAAAAAAATTTTAAATTAAATATAAATACGAATATAAATTTTATGATTATAAAATTAAATCAAATTTAAAATGAATAAAAATTCGTTCCGACTTTATCTTTTACCGACCCTAATTGCTGCCTAGGAACTAGAGGAGCCAACATGCCAAACTGTGCTGAAAATCGCATTGGAATTGAAGAATATGCCTTTGGTATTTTTATCTATGATAATAATCCAAAATAAACCCTTTCTGTAGGGCCCCTTTTCCTCCCCTCTACGCCAAATTCTATCCCAAACCCAACCTTCTTTTGGCAGCCAAATCCATGCCCTTTTGCCCAAGAAACCACCTTTAAAAATAAAGCTGATGGCCAATAGCATTTGCTTTTATTGTTTAGCAGTTTGATTTTTCTTTTTGGATTTTGTTTTATGATGTTGGTTACAAAAAGATAAGAAACTGAAACAGTCAAAAGTAGATGATTACTTTACTAAAAAAAAAAAAAAACATATTCAAAACATTGTTTGAGTTAAAATTTTTATAGGCTTTCTTTTGGGTCAACAACAATGTACTTGACTCTTTGTTGGATCAGATCACCTGCAATTTGGACTTCTTTATTTGGTAATTCACAACTCCACTTTTTATTCATTGGTCGAATTTTAACTGCTTTCCCTCTATTAGATCAGATAATTTGTATTTTTTTACACGAATTATTAAAATATAAATACAATATAAATTATAAAATATATTTAAATTTTAAATATAAATATGATATAATTATAATATGTATTACATAAAATATGATACAATTAATACATATATAATTAATTTATTTAAACATGACATAAATAAATATAAATAATAAAATTATATATAAATAAATACGACTAATATAAATTTATACGAATAAACATGATAAATATGAATATATATAAAAATAAGATAAAAATAATAAATAATTATAAACTATCTACCATTTATAACTTAATAAACTTGATATATTAATAATATAAAAATACTAACATCAATGGCAGATCTTGATATTTGCTTTTGAGGGTTCAATTAAAATTATATAGATTTTTTTATTTATTATGTTATTTAAAGTATGAAATAAGTGTTAAATATATATAGGTATTTAAAACGGATATACTTATTTTTTAAAATTTTTTCATATATTTGGATTTTTCATTTTCTATACTCACATTTATCGTATATGTATCGAATACGGGTATTTAAAAAAATAAATCTAAATAATTAACATAATTTATTTAAGGTTTTATCAAACAAAAAAATTGAAAACAGTCACAAAAATATAACAAAGATAAGTACAATAGATTAAAAAAAAACACTTTTGGCACTTGATTGAAGATTGAAATTTTATTGAAAAAAAAAGAAAGTTAATTTTTTTTAAGTATATATGAGTGTGATTTTATATTAATCACAAATTTATTATTTTCAAGGATTTGATAATGATTATAGGTACAATAATGACAAATAATAATATAATTAATTTTTCTTAAATTGCAATACATAAAATTAGATTAAAGATTAAAAATAAAATTGACAAATATCAATTTTAATGAAGAACCAATTTAATTTAATAGAAATATATACAACAATTATACTTCCTCTGTTTTATTTTCTTTGTTTATCTTTCTTTTTTGAGATGTTCTAAAATTATATTCTATTTCTTTTTTTGAATATTAAAACTCTTTTTTTTGTTTTAAAATTATTTTTATGATTTTTTTTTTACTTTTTAACATTAAAATTCAAGAAACTTTAATTTTATTAAAAAAATTTTAATTTTAATATTAAATACATTAAAATTAAATTTTTTTAAACTCCATAAAAATTGATACATATCAAATAAATTGAGACAGAGCGAGTAATAAATAATATACATACATACATATATATAATATTTAAAATTTTAATTTTAATATTAAATACATTAAAATTAAAATTTTTTAAACTCCATAAAAATCAATACATATCAAATAAATTGAAACATAATGAGTAGTAGATAATATACATACATACATACATACATACATACATATATACATATATATATATATATATATTTATATAGAGCATGTGTTAAAGGGATGTTAAAACTTTGGGGTGGGACAAAGCCCCCTCTAGCTCTACTGGTGGTCCGCCATTGTCTAGCGTATTAAAAAGTGTAAAAAAAATTCTATACCTATTTAACATACATTTAATAAGTATTTAAATTTTAATATATGCATTACGTAATTATATAGTTTTTAGTGTCAAATTTAAAATGATAAATTATTAAATATCAAAGGATAAAATAATGATGTATTGGATTAGTATTATTATTTATATTATATTTATATTGTTAATATAAAAATAATTTTATAATAATTATTAAATGGGTATTATAATTAAATATTTAAAATAATCTTTATATAATATTAAATAATTAAGAAGGTATCATAATTAAAAAATTAAAATTAAAATAATCTTTAAATGTTTATAATAAATTAAAATAAATATAAAAATATATTAAGAGTGTTAATCATGTTAAATGTGTACCCATAAGAAGATTAAATTAAACATATTTTTTGTGTTGTGTCATATGTTATACATATATTTATGTGATAAGTTTTATTTAAATATATTTTTCGTGTTTTATATGTGTTTAGATTAGTTAACACGTATAAGATACGAATTGTGTCATATCAAAATTCATGTCAATATGAACAAACACAAGACACGTTTTTTAAAACATATATGAATTTTTTTATACCATGTTACCATGTCATATTTGAAATTATCAGATCTACCTTCTACTAAAAAAATAAAAATAAATTTCATATTTAATTATATAAATACTTTTAAGATGTGGTATTTAATAATTTTAAATTTTAACAATTATAATATATATTTTTTATTTTAAAGTTACAATTTTTTTATAAAAAAAGTTAGATAAAATTTTTTGAAATTACAACAATTGATGCTTAACTAATTCATATTGCAATTATTAGAATTACAACAATTAAAGCTTCATTTTTTTTAGTGTTTAATAAGAATATTGCTTAAAAATTAAGTTAAAATTGAACAAATAATAGTATTTGTTAAGTTAAAAGCAATTTGGTGGAAAGTTGGATATTTTTTAGATATGATAATTCGTGTCATCATATCGTATAAAATATTATATTCATGTTATGTTTTATACTAAAATCATGTCACCGATTTGTATCGGCATGAAAATATAAAATACAATTTTTTTGTTTTATTAGATTTTTTTTATAATTTTTTTAAAATTTAAGTCGTGTTATTTTACATTTTTTATTTATATTATCTTCGTATCATATCACTGTATCATATTTTAAATTGTCAATTTTTTTTAACTCTACAAAGTGAATTGAAATTATAATAATAGGAAGTAGAATAACAAGAATGAAATTGTTATATCTAAAAAAAAAAAAAGTTTCCCCTACTTAAGAAAAGAAATCAAAAGTAATCTTCAGCTGCTTGACCTAGTGATCAAAACAACCTTAAAGAAGACATCAAGGTTGGTGTTCGAACCTCAGCCTTCTCCCTCCCTTTAATGTAGGGTTCTGTCCCTTAAATGACAAAAAAAAAAAAAAAAGAAAGAAATCATAAGTAAATCTTATGAATTGAATTTGGCATACGCTAGAGCATGGGATCTATTGAATAGGAATACAATTATTATAATTTTTTTAAAAAAATTGTAATCGGAATAAAAAAAGATTGAAAATGTTACAATTTAACTTTAAATTTATTAAATATAATTTTTAAAAATAATTATATAAATAAATTCGAATTAAGCTCATAGACTAGGATTTAACATTGATAATTTTACAACCAACCAACCTTTATTAAAATAAATGGTGGGGAATACACGTATGATTAGCTAAACTTCCTTCGCTTTGATGGACAGATGGCATAAAAAGAAAATAGTTTTACATGGATTTTATAATGATTTTAAAAATCAACCTTTTTCACAATAAATTACCTTAAAAATCTCTATGTTGCATTTATAATGATATTAAAAATTTCACACATAAAATATCCCTTGAAAACTCCTTTATAATATATATATATATATGTATGTATGTATATTTTGCTAATAGTGAAATGAATTGGTGAATATGTACAAATTTTTTTCCTTAAAATAATAATTTATTTGGATGAATAATAAAATTGATTGTGATGAAATTGAAAATAATAATAAAAATTATTATAATTGTGATTGAAAAAAATTAATTGTGATTATGATTAAAAAATTAAAAAATAATTTATATTAAATGAATCTAACTAAAATTAATATTTAAATTTAATTAACGACGATTGAAGTTTAATTGAAGCCTACTAAGAAAAATTGAAAATTCCTTTTGAAATTGGAGTAATTTCTTAATTATAGTATTATTAAATAAACATGACATTAAAGTTTAAAACTTTCAATTTCTTAAGTAAATATCAATTTAAAAAATTTTTTATTTATAATTTAATTAATTCTTATTTATACTATTCTACAAATTCAAAAATAATAAGCTAAAAAAAAGGAATAAGTAATAAAAAATAAATTTATTTATAATCAAAATTCACAAAAACTAATTTTTTGAATGTCAATAATCCATTTTCCAGAATAGAAAAACCCAATTTAAATTCAGACAGAATAAAATAGGATTATTTTTATTATTATTGCATTTAATAAAAAAAAAAACCAAAGATCCGACCAAAAAAAAAAGAAAACCGGGGAACTCTGTTTATAAAACTAGAGGTACTAGCATGACTTTGCCTATTTCTTCTCTCTCTCTCTCTCTCTCTCTCTCTCTCTTTCTGTCAAATTTCTCTCTCTTTTCATTTTTTTTCTTAAAAATATTAAGTCTATCAGGTCTCTCGATCTCCCTTTCTCTTTCTTTCCCTAATTTCGCTTCAATTCGGTTAGTCACTTATTTTTCTCTCCTTTTTTTTTATTTTTTTTGAAGATTTTTAACCGTACGATTAATCTTTGAATACCTAGGGTTCTACATTGTCTGAATTTTGATTAATGCGGCTTTAACTAACAAGAAGTTTGATTTTTTTTCTTTAGGTTCTTTCAGGGTTTCTCTAAGATAAGCTGGTGTTCTCTTTCTTGGCTGCGGTTTTGTTGATGATTATAAGGTGCGCCAAAGAAAAAAAGACCCATCTTTCTTCTTCTTCTTCTTCTTCTTCTTTTTCTTTGAATTTGCATGCTATTAACAAATTTGAGTTGATAGTCTGTTAATAAATAAGTTGTATTTAACAAGTTGATAAATTTGTGTGAATTTAAGTTATATGTTTGAAAATTTCCCTTTCTTTCTTTCTTTTTTTTTTTTTTTTTTGGTTTTTCGAAGTTCTTATCAAAGGAGGAGCTTGGTAGGATAATTTGTGAGGTGCTCTTTAGGATTGGGGATAATTATGAACAAAAAGTTGAAATCTTTTTTTTTTTTGGAAAATTAATCAATAATTATGAATTTTTTTTATCGACGACTTTAATATACTTGTACAAGAGGGTAAATATTTGAAAATTTTCCATCTTGGTAGCTGGATGTAGGCGATTCTGTTGATTGAAAGTTTTTGATGATGGCTTGTTATTTTGAATGCCGATTTTGGTAGTGAAGAAGGGTTTTTTTTTTTTTTTTTAACATTTATTTTTGGTGGAAAATTTAAGGCTAGATGGTGGTAATGATATATTTTTTGTTTGGTTGATGATGTGAGGAAGGAGATCTATGATAGTATGCGTGGGAAGATTAGCATTCGGAACTTTGAGAGTTGGGAAGATGTGAAAAGAAAGTTTTGTTTTAAGCGAATGCTTGTTTCCGCTGAATTTAATCTTTTTAAGTCTCTATTTCAGTAGTGGAAAATTAGTTTATACTTCCTTTTGGCAATCTTTTTACGCTAGCTTAAACTAGTGGACAATGTAATAGCTAAGAGAGCACTATGATTAATATGGTTTAGGAGATCCGTGCCTTTCTCCTGGATGCTATATTAACCCTTTCTTGGTTTGCAAGTGCTGCAATTTAAAAGGTGGATTTGTTGATGTTCTTTATATATATGGTTCTTTTCCATTGCTGGAAGGAAATGCTTTATGTTTCTGGTGAAATAGGAGCATCTATTACAAATTCCGAATAAATAGTTGAGAAGGTGTTATTAGCAAGTAATGCTTTGCATGTCTTGTATTTCAGCTCTTAAGTTGGATAAATGAGATACTAGTCCTATTTTCATATTTAGGTTGAATATGTGCTCAACTTTTATTTCCTCGTTTTCTTTTCTGATAATTCAAATTTTATAGATTTGCTGATATTTTCAAGTTACATTTTTATTTTTATGTTATAGTAAATAGATAAATGCATGGTGGCAAGTTTACTTTTTTTTTTCTTCAGTATATTAAATGTCAACTTATAATATGGTTTATCAGTGTGAACTGAGCAGAGTTATTTCTTTTTCTTTTTCTTTTGACGATGAAGCAGGGACAAATTGCAGTAACAATTTATTGGATCAGCATGGGCCAAAGAAATATGATATGCCCTAGTCAGATGATTAATTTAGAAATGGATCAGCGAGGCCAGGGATATCTTCATCATGAGCCCTGCATCTTTTTGGGCAGCATAACTAACTATCCACCACCTGATATCCAGATGGCAGTCACAGCTCCTTTGAACACAACTACTCTTGATACTCATCCCTTACCAGAGCATTATGACAGCAGTATGTTCTATGCGATGCCCCGGTACCCTGGTGGTCAGCATCATCATCATTCGCCAAATCTTGATCTTGGTATTGGAAGTGCATCCAACATTTACATTCCCTATGTGGCTAATCCTTCGTCCAGTGTTCCTGTAAATCATGGACCCACAGACCTGATGCCATCTTCAAGCAACTATAGTCTTCTTGGAGTTTTTGCTGATGAATATGCAATGAATTGTCACTTCATGGATAATGTTAGAGGCTCATATAAGAGAAAGAATTCTGAAGGGATCCCAGGAAATTTTCAGCATTTTAATGCCTCATCAAGCTCTAGTTGCTTAGTTGCACCATTAAATACTAGGCCTAATGGGCTTGGCACGGTGGATGTTGCATCTTTCACCATTCCTCAGTATAGGGGAAATGGCCTTCCACCAATTAGAGAAGCAGGATCTCAAAGAAGTGTGAGGAACAGATTAGGTGCAACTGCAGTGGATCCTGTTTTGATGCATGGTGCTAACCATTTTTTTCAAGGAAATTACATGGATCAGCCCTTTCAGCCAACAATAACAGATGGGGGTGCCTCAGCTTGGACTCAGGCTGCTGGTGTTCCTTATATGCATGGTAGTTTCTCCATCCTTCTATTTTTTCCTACTGAGGTTGTTATTATCCATGTAATGTAATTGTTTGTCTGTTAGAATTTTCAATTTTACATAGACAGTTTTTTTTTTTATTGAAAGCAGCTTCCATGTAAATGAGGTCATGTATTTTTACCTTGAAACTGATTGCCTTGGACTCTTCACTTATTTGTTTTTGTATAGGTAGCAATGTTGGTGGACCTATGGATACCAGGCATAGAATTTCCTCAAACTTTTCACATTCTTCTCCCCGTGACCTTCGGAACCAGAATTTCCAACGTCCTGCACCACCTATTGAAGGAGTAAGAGGCCACAGCATTAACGTTCATCCACAAGTAGCAGCAGTTCCTTATCGTTTTCCAGCAAGTTTTGCCTCACAGAGCATCATGAATCCTTCACAGGATATGGGGCGTAGGCAAATGGGACCAGTTCCACCTACTGGCTTTAGGATATATCATTCTGGCCGAGAGAGTGGTGCTGCACATGAGACAACTCTGAGACACCGCAATCTTCCACACCTTAGAGTTCTTCCACCAGATGTAAGTTCCTGACTTTCATTTCTGCAATATCATTTCTGTTTGTTTTCTTTTCTGAAACTAGTAGAAAAGAATTCATAAACAAACTTTTTTGGTTATTTTTAGGTTTATAAATATGCTGATATCTTTTAGTTGGTTTGGTGCAGGGAGTTGCTGTACTGGAGTTCCCGGAATTTTACGAAGAAGTAGAGAATTTTATTGATCATCACAGAGATATGCGCTTGGATATAGAGGACATGTCTTATGAGGTAAGTTGAAGTTCGATAAATGTTGTCTTGCATGGTTTGACCTTATTTTTACAGATCATTTACTGGAAATTTTCCAAATGACCACAGGAGCTACTTGCTCTGGGAGAGCGAATTGGCAATGTGAACACTGGGTTGTCAGATGAAATTATTATAAGTAAATTGAAAACAAGAACTTATTCAACATTTGCAACAAATATTAATCTGGAAGAGGCTGCACCCATTGACCAGGAACCTGATTCTTGCATTATTTGCCAGGTAATCAAGACAAGAGTGCTTACAGCTTAGCTAGCGTTATTCTTTGTTGAAGAGCTTGAAGCGCACATCTTTTTCTTTATTTGAGTTTGAAGCATGCTTTTTGCTGATGGCGTCACTGTTCACTCCTAACATATGGCATTTGCTATTTCTCTTGTAATTTTACAGGAGGATTATAAGAACCAAGAGAAAATCGGAACTCTTGATTGTGGACACGAGTATCATGCAGGTTGCTTAAGGAAGTGGCTGCTCGTGAAGAATGTATGCCCCATCTGCAAATCTGAGGCATTAGCCACAGGGTCCAAGAATGATATATAAAACATGGGGTGACTTGACCCAGCAAAAGAAATAAATTACATAAAATGGTTGATGGTGGCAGAATCAATCGGAGGAAGCTCTCCCAGATGTCTTATGACTAATGTGTTTACTATAACTAAATTGATATCTGTCGAGTATTTTGTACATGAACTTGCAGATATCTAACAGACAGCCAATCATCAATCATTAATTTGTTGGCTATGTAATTATCAACAATTGTACAGACCCTGATTATTCAGTCTCATGCTATAATATTAACTTTCAGCTATAATGTGTTTTTCATTATTTTTCTTCTCTCTAATTTTTCTGTAATAATATGTTAAATTTGTTATATTTTTTCAGGGTTTCCTACATTTGCATGTCTGGTGTGTATTTGCAGGATCAGAGTGTTATGTTTTCCTAATATATTTTCTTTTGGAAAATAAGATTTGTTCTGGATTCCCTACAGTATTTTCTTTTCAAAAGGATTTTATCAGCTAATTGATGAATTTTATTGTCAAAATTCATCATAAATTATCATCTGTCATAATGAAGCAGAATAAGCTTTGATATGATATGGATTCTAAATCAGTTTAGAACCTAGAACTAGCCACTAAACTCAGAAATTTATGAAATGAATGATTTTCTTCTTCTTACACATAAAAACATTGAATTTTCATTTTTATCTCAACATAATCCAGGGGGAGTACATGTATGATTGAATCCCGGGACCTTTCTCAAAAAGTGAGAGGCAAAGTCAATTTCCATCTAGGTCTTCAATACATCTTGGTTGTGAGATAAAAATGAAAAAAAAAAAAATCACCTCTTACGTTTAAATGGCCTTCAATTAATTTATTTGTATTTGTAATAGTTTAATGCAATTTGCAAGAGAATTTTTAATTCAAAATTGTAGGATCCTTGTTAAAAAATTTTACGTAGTATTCAAGTAATTCTGTCGAGCATCAATTATTTAAGAACCCACTTCAACATTACCTTTTCCATGGAGCAGGCAACAATGATTATATGCACTACTGAATTTATGAGGGATTTGGTGAGAGAGATGCATAAAAGAAATGATAATATAATGGAGTAGATAAAATTTGTTTCTCATCTAGACATCAATGGAAGAGAAAAAACACTTTCTAAAGCAAAGGTATTAGAGGTTGAGAAATATGAAGGAAAAAATAAACTTATTGACATTGTGTAAGATTGGAATCTGATACGAGACATTCTAAAACAGGTTCACTAAACTCGATGGGATTCTAAATTGGATTAATCTTCTTTTGCAATTTAGACGCTATTAGATAAGATCTTGCAGACCTTGGATGAAATTGTTGATATTCTTCTTGAAGATCTCGGTTAGGAAGAGTTTTTTTAGCTTGGCATGGTTTCTCTTTAACAGACCAGCTATGTCATCTTCCTTCGCCATCACCAACTTGATGGCTTTGCTCAAGTTCTCCTTGGAAATCTGCCTGTTTTCTCCTGTGTCAACTTCAAACGCAACCCTCTTGAGTTCCTCCACCTAATCTGGTGTTCAAATTTTGATCTCCTAAGCGAGGAATCAACACAATTTGGCAGTTACTGAGTAAAGATTCCCACATTGTTCCCTAACCGCATTGATTCACAAAGCATCCGACGGATGGGTGGTTGAGTAATAACCACCATGAATCAACCCTCTTCCTTGAACCCTCTCTTAGGGCCCCTCAGGCAATGCCTCTTCAATCGTAGTACATCCATCTAGAGGTGTTAAAGCCACCAACAAAAAGTAGCCCAGGCGACTCAAACCCAAGAAGTAGCTCTTGAAACTCGTCCTTTTGCAGTCTAATCTTCCAAATGCACAAAACACCACAGAACTTGGCTCAAAATTGCTTAGCCAATTAGCCCATTTTTCTTCAAGTTATTTGGTATTTGTTTCTCGTAAGCAAGGAACTGTTAGTAGAATGGAGTTCCCATACTGTTAAGAACATAGTCACAGAAAGCTCCCTCAATTTCACGACAAGTCTGAAGGCTATGAGATCACTCTCTTCCATGCTATTTGCTACGCGGTTTTGAAATGATCATAGAAGTTCGGCCACAGATTCTAGTGCAGCAGCCTCTTCAGGTTAGAGTCTATCCTTGGAAGAAGGTTAGCCTGAAGATATTCGTTTACGCTCTGAGCCTGGAAGTATTTCTTCAGTCATTTCCTTGGCTACATTCTTAGGTATCTGCGAGGTTGAAGCTCCAGAAGTAACAGTATAGAATATGGACTTGATGCCCATTTGGCTAGCCAATGCTGGAATCGAATGCCCAAAATCATAGAAAACCATACTCGGAACCATCTGCATTGGAAACAACAAGAGGAAAAAAACCAGTCAAGTTTGGATAGAGGCTAATTGTTCCAACTTGGTTTTTGCTCTTTTGGTTATAAGAAGGATATTTTGTGGGCTTTCTCAGCAAACTTGTTTGAGAGGTGAAGAAAGGGGATTTAATATTTTGATCACATATACAATATATGCATTAACAGTCTTCATTATAAATTCAACTATAATCTATGATTAATATAAATTTAAGATATACTAATGTTGCATATCATAATGAGTTTAATGAGAATTTAGTTTTAACTCAGATAACATACATACTAATTAAACTCTTCAAAGTTTTCCGGTTCCAGAAGATTTAGACAAGTAATGTCTAACACTTTAGAAAACCTCATACCCAACAATGTCAGCTCCCAAGCATGTAAATGACATTCCCATTTGTATAATAATTACAACATTCACTCCATATAAATTCAAAGTCACCTATGAAGGAAACATATTATCATAGCTAATTCAAAATTTATCATCCACAGGTAATCAAAATCATTTAAAAATATAAAACCAGATCTGTCTGAACAAACTATGTATTATATTCTAAAGCAATCAAATACAACAAACACTATCAAACCTATGAAATGGAACATTACACGACGAAGAAAAGTAACCTAAAAGAACCATGGAAAAGAACCGAAATCAAATGAAACAGGGAATTTTGGGATGGGATCGCTACGTTTTCTTTGACTTCAACCTCAACTTTTGGGAAGCGCAAGGACCATAACACAATGAGGAAGGTCTTGTGCTTAACGAGATGAAAAATACAGGAAATGTGGAGACCCAAAATCATCTAATGTTTAAGCAGAACAGCAGCCAACTTTCTTGATGGCAGAAACATCATCCTTGGTTCCAACATTGATGGTTTGTCCCTTGGGCAATGCTGCAGGATCATCCCCTACTTCAAGTGCTTTTCGACTAACCACATGATATATTTGACTTAGCACTTCAGTGAATGCATTCTCAACATTCATGGACTCAAGGGCAGATGTCTCCATAAAGAAGGTATTTTCTCTCTCGGCAAAGGCCTTAGCATCCTCAGTGGAAACAGCACGCAAGTGTCGCAGGTCCGCCTTGTTACCGACAAGCATAATTACAATATTGGAATCTGTGTGATCTCGTAGTTCCTTCAACCATCTCTCAACATTCTCAAATGTGACATGTCGAGTGACATCATAGACAAGCAATGCACCAACAGCTCCTCGGTAGTATGCACTTGTAATTGCCCGGTATCTTTGAAAAGAATATAACAAGAAATCAACTCACAAAAATCTTATAAAACACATCTATTTATAGGAGTAAGTGTGGTTTAGGCATTGACAACTAAAATGATGGTAGAAAATCATCTACATTTCATTTTTACACCAACAACACCTCAAAAGCAGGGCCTTGTTTTAATGCTTCTAATGCCAAAGTATCAGTTTCTTATACTGGAAAATCTTAACATCATAATCTTCTATTGATTTCTCATCATCAAAGAAGTACCGGCAAAAACAGCAATTTTATGATTTCCTTTAACAATTATCAGCAAAAAAGAAGTATCATGACAATTAAATGTTCTGTTCCAAGTGATTGACCAGGCAATAAACAATTAAATGTTGCACAGCCTATTGGACATTTAGGCACCCAAAACACTTGATTTCAAGGAAAAACAACACAGAATTTTCATTTCATGCTCTACAGGTTCTCAACACAGTTTTGTTTAAGTTGAAAACGCATTAGTAATGTCAATACAGAAAAAGAAATATATCTAAAGCTTTTACAATTAAAATTTCCAATTTATAAAATATATGATATTGTGGAACCTCACTCTGTTATCTTTTCCCCAGAGAAACATCATACTGAGAAAACTAGAAAGTTCTAATGCAACTCATCCGACACAAACCTTCTTCCAGCCTCATGCATGATACGCAGAGTTAGAGCACCATCGAAGACATGCCTTCTAAAGGCATGTGAAGATGCTTTCCATAGAAGTCCATGCATCGAAGTTTACAGATAATAGGACATTCATCAGAACTGGAAAGACACTATAACAATGTCCTAAGTTTCAGGATAACATAAAGAACTTTAAGACTATAACAAGGTTAATTTATAGAATTAATACAACAATCAAAACTGAAAATAACAGACAAATCCTTTGAAAACCAATGGGAAAAATACAATGATCCATAGATTGGATATACAAATGATATCCTCTTCAATAAACCTAAATTCTAAGCATGTGTATAGATACAGTTTGATGATTCAACTAGGACTTTTAGGAGAAGTGGGTTTATTCCATCTTTTCATCAATGGATCAAGTTGTAACATTTATCAATTAGATCCATATGTAGTTTTTGAGGCTATGTAGTCTTTGATGCTCATCCATTAGTAAACCAACGGCGGAATTTTGTATATAAACTAACTAACACATGCTGATTTCTAAACCAAATCGAATTTGCAACATGCTAATCAAGAAAATTGTCTTTCAACATGCTTAAATCAATACATGAATCCAAAAAAAAAACACATATTTTTCACCAATTAACTAAAAGCCAAGTCCACATGCTTCAACATTAAAAAGAAAAAGAAAATTCTGAATGCACCTTATTCCAATATTTTCTCAGCAACCAAACAATCCAAGAAAAGAAAAAAAACAAAAACAAGCTTCTTAATACCCATTTCACCAAACCAACACACTAGTATAAAAAACACCTTTCCTCAAATTTCAAAATTTTCGAAAATTACCCGAATATCCAAATACAACCCTTATAAAAACAGAACAAAACAAACAAAAAGGAGAAGATGAGAACCAGTTGAATATAATTCCTACATTTCTTCAGCAACCAAACAGCCCAAAAAATCCAAAAATCCAAATACCCATTCTACCAATCCAATGTACCAACCATGTAAACACCTCATCTTCTCCAAATCTCTCAAAATTCGAAAACTCCCTTAGAACTAATATAAACCAAAAAACCAAAAGAAGTGAGAAATAAGAGTGACAATATAAAATAGAAAATACGTTTAAAAAATGTACCTTTCTTGTCCAGCGGTGTCCCAAATCTGGGCCTTAACGATCTTATCATCGACCCGAATACTTCGGGTGGCAAATTCGACTCCGATTGTAGATTTGGATTCAAGGCTGAACTCGTTCCTCGTAAATCTCGACAACAAATTCGATTTCCCAACACCCGAATCTCCGATCAAGACCACCTTGAACAAGTAATCGTAGTCGTCGTCCGCTCTATATGCCGCCATTTCGGGCCACCCGGTCGGGTTCTTTTAGTGGATTCTAAAAAAAATTGATTTTTTGAAGAAATTTTATAGAACGGCAGAGACCGGTGGCATTAGAGAGATTTTGAAATTGGAACAAGAGAAAGAGAAATGGGGTTAGATTGAGTGGGGATAAGAGTCGGGTCGGGCAAGTGAATTTGGTGATCGGGCTAATTATGACTTAGTGGGCCAATTTAACGGAAAGGCGAGTTTTTCAAATTTTAGGAGTGGTAAACAAATTTAAAGACAAAGCTATAAAAGGTTGTGAGTGATAAATAAATTATATTTTTTAAATATTTATAATTAAAGTTCGAATTTGACATTTTTAATCTTAAAATTGATTTTAATATTATCCAATATAAAATTTTTTTTTCTATATTCCAATTTGAAATCTATCTTCAATAATAATGTATTTAATCAATATTTATTGATTTAAATGATTAAAAAATTTAATTTTTTTAGATAAAATTTAAGTTTCGAGTGTTATGAATAAAAAAATATGTTTAAAAAAAATTATTTTTTTATAAAATTTAATTCAATTTGACTCTTAATTAATCGAAATTTAAAGTAATTATCAAATATAAAAAAAATTTTAAAAAAATGTATTAGAGAGAAATTTATTTATTTTTATTATTGAGTTAATAATAATTAGATAATTTAATTTTTATAAAAAATAACTTAAGAAAAAGATATTTATTTCAATTAAAAAATTACTACTTCGATGGTTGGGTTGGGTACATGAATCATTAACTTCTCTTTTATTTAAAAAAAAAAAAATCGCTGTCTTTCCTTGTTTGTAATAAATACTGTTACTTTGTTTTTTATATAATTTTTTTCTTTCTTTTATTTTTTTTTTAAACGGTTGCCAGCCTGATTGGATTATCACTTCATGTGTATTAATAAACAAACAGTCACATAATCATGTAATAAACTAATAATCTACCTTTCATTAAAAAAAAAAAAAACTAAATTTGAATCATAAATAAATTTGAAAACTATATATTTATTTTTTGTTAAATATTGGTAATTTATGTATTTAAATTTTATTTTATAATTTGTATAAAAATATAAAATATATTTTTAATTTTTATTAATTTTTTTAAAAAAATTATATTAATTTAATATTTTTTTATCGATTTGTGCATATTTTAAATTATCAAAATTTAATCATGAACATGTAAAAATAAAAAAAAATAGGACCAAAGCGGGAGGCAACGGACCAACGGTCTAAGACAAACATACGTTCTTATCTCCACCGTCACGATCGTGACGATAAATTTACCTGATTTAAAAATGTTGCAGTGCTCTATACGTCTCTGCAACAGACGAAACTATCACGTCAGCGTCTCTTAATCTCAATCCCTTACTTCGTTTAGTGTTCTCTTTTAAGATTTGAATTTTTTTTTCAAAAAAAAAAAAACACCGAGAAAGATGGAGAAACGAGCGGCAGTGGTGAGAGATGGCGACGGTTTGGTGATGGTGGTGGTGGGGGGTTTTCCTGATGATATGGATTACCAATCAGGATTCGGCAATCATTTCTCATCGGAGGCGATCGCCGGAGCTTTGCCACGCGGCCAAAACAGTCCTCTTATTTGCCCTTTTGGACTGTATGCTGAGCAGATTTCCGGCACTTCCTTTACTTCTCCTCGTAAGCTTAATCAACGCAGGTACTGTTACTTTTTTTTTTGAATTTTTCAAAATTTTAAATAATTTATTTTAGTGATATAAATAAAAGCTAAGTTTTTCAAAAAAGAATTTGATTTTTTTTTCCGTGAATAGTTGGTTATATAGAATCAAACCATCGGTCACTCACGAGCCATTTCGGCCTCGTTCACCTACTCATAAGAAGCTTGTGAGTGAATTTGACCGGTCCAACACGGTTGCAAACCCTACTCAGCTCCGGTGGAAGCCTGTGGATATTCCCACTTCGCCGACAGATTTTATTGATGGTTTATACACTATATGTGGAGCTGGCAGCTCATTCCTTCGACATGGATATGCTATTCACATGTAATTGGTATTTTAGTAGTCATTTCACTTCTTATATGAATCTGGCATTTGCTGCTAATTTTTAACAGTGTTTTTTGCAATAAGCAACAATATTTACTTTATTATTTTACCTGTTGTCGAAGAATTATTAGAAAATTAAGTTTGGTATTTGTTTTATATTGTTGTTGTAGCGATCATAGGGTGACCTTTCACCAGATTTGTTCGGCTGACACCACCCTTTCTCTCTAAGTTATAAACTTGGTTGATAAGGAATCTCAAAAATCTTAATGTTGCATGATATTGCTGTTGATTTTGATATAAAAGGGGAAAAAGATGCTGAAAAAGAAGTGGACAGTATAATTTTTACTTCTAGCACTGTTTGCTGACCAGTTTTGGGGAGATAACTTAGAAACTGAAGTGTTTAGTATCATGTCTGATGTAAGGCTTGGGGCATTGTCAAGATGTCATTTGGAGTCCTGGCAAGATGATCTTAGGAGACTTGATTTTGGAGGAATTTAAGTTCTTGAGGTTTTAAAATTTGCAATTTGGCACAGCTCATAAATACTGTGCAGATTGGAATAGAATACTTCTCTGAATTGCAACTTTTCCATTAGGAAAACAGAAGTAGCGTGAGTTGCACTTATTTGTCATCTATATTTTGACTTGATTTGTTTTCTTGCTGCCAAAGATGTGGATGCAAGTAATAAGAAATGATATGAGGATTATGGAAGTAGATGAAACAATTGCTTTTGATAGAAATGGGTGGCATAAGAAGATTCAAAATTATGACCTAACATGATTCTTTTTTTGGCCTTTTATACATCCAACCCCAGAATTATAGGATATGAGGTTTAGTTTGTTGCTGTTGTATGTTTTCTTGCCGCCAAATTGTTTATGTGCTTGGTGGAGATGAGTTTCACCATCATGACTCTCTGTCTATCTGTCTATATAAGGTATTCAAAAACAACTTTTTGTTGCATTGATCCTTAGCTAGTAGACTTGGAGTCATGCTCAATTGTTTAGCTTAAATGTGTGAGTTAAAGAGGCAATAAAATTTTCTACACATGTAGGTACACTGCCAACAAATCAATGGACAATTGTGCCTTCTGCGATGCAGATGGTGATTTTTTGGTAGTTCCCCAGCAAGGAAGTAAGTTAAAATCCTTTTATCTGTGAATTCTTGGCCACTTTGGAACAAATTTTAATTGCATTATGTTGCATTTGTGGAGTCTGTCTCCTTTTTGGGTTTTCAATTTGAGTAGCTTTATTTTTTAAAATAAAAAGATTATAAAGTTATCATCATTATATTTCTGAACCTAAACAAAAAATAGTTAGTTTATAAGTCATTGTTGGTAGCTTGCATTTCATTTTGGTTATGAACACTTGTATTATTGAGAAAACTGGCACTATTGTTTAAGGTCTAGCCATGTGATGAGAATATATGTTTTTCTTTATTTTTTCTTATTCATTTATGAGCGAGTATTACATGACACTAGTGAACTTAAATTCTTTTTGACACAAGGGAATATGCTTATTTAAGAACTGCATTTCTGATTACAGGGCTATGGATCACTACTGAATGTGGAAGATTGGAGGTCTCTCCTGGTGAAATTGCTGTTTTACCTCAAGGATTTCGCTTTGTTGTAGATTTGCCTGATGGCCCATCACGTGGTTATGTCGCTGAGGTTTTTGGTACCCATTTTCAACTACCTGATCTTGGTCCGATAGGTACCTAATCTCTTGTTCAGATGTGGCCTGTGAGAGAATAAGCATAGTATTTTGTTGTTCTTGTATCATTAAGAATAAGCCACTTTATTGATCATGTTGGCATATGACTATAGGGTATGATTTTGATATTGTGTAGGTGCTAATGGCCTTGCTGCTTCAAGGGACTTCCTTGTTCCCACAGCCTGGTTTGAGGAGGGCCCCCGTCCAGGGTTTACTATTGTACAAAAGTTTGGAGGAGAGCTTTTCAACGCACAACAAGATTTTTCTCCTTTCAATGTAGTTGCCTGGCATGGTAATTATGTTCCATATAAGGTGGGTGTAATGGCTATAGTATTAATCTTCTTTATTTTGACAACATAGTTTGTAAATAGAGGCATTTATTAGACAGCCTTTTGTTTCTCCATGTATTGAGTTTGTTTCTCCATGTATTAAGTTGATCAGATAACAGTTCAAAGTTCAAACAAAAATAGTTAAAACTACAAGAATTTGATTATGACACATTTTGGGTGATCTGATTTAAATCAAAATCTTTGTTGCTTTCAGTATGACCTTAGCAAGTTCTGCCCTTACAATACTGTTTTAGTTGATCATGGGGATCCATCAATAAATACAGGTATATTAGTACATGGAATCTGTCTTCATGTATCACTTTTCCCCTAAAGACATTGTTTTTATTGTTCGATTGTGTTTGTATTTAATTATTTAAACTTGATTTGAGTGATGTCTTGCAGTTCTGACAGCACCAACTGATAAACCAGGTGTGGCATTGCTTGATTTTGTCATTTTCCCTCCACGATGGTTGGTCGCAGAACACACATTCCGACCTCCATATTACCATCGTAATTGCATGAGTGAATTTATGGGACTAATATATGGTGGATATGAGGTGAATTCCCATAATATTCTGGCTGTTTTTTTCTCTTGGTTGGTATAGTTTGACTATATAAGCTACCTTGTTTTCTTTATCCCTTTGCTAAGATGGAGAATATCCCTGGTTAAATGGCTACACAATATGGATAAGTCTTTAAGAAGTACGATTTTTTGCAATGCAGTTTTCATACAACTGTTGTGTCTTATTATTTGTAGTGGAACAGTGGTTGTACGGGATTGCATGGCACATCTGCATACTCAGAAGTAGCTCTTGCTCAAGCCTGGCAAGACTTTAATTCTTCTAATTTAAAATTTTGTATGATGTATTGGTTTCAGGCAAAAGCTGATGGGTTTCTGCCTGGTGGTGCTAGCCTTCACAGCTGCATGACTCCTCATGGTCCTGATACCAAAACATACGAGGTAAACATCTAGAGCGCAACTTCAAGATTGCAAGTTTTTTTCCTTTATGCCTTTTTGTTCTTTGGTTTTATAATAAGTCGAGTGGCCAGAAAAAATTGAATTGTGTTACCATGAAATTTTGCAAAAATAACGTTGTTGGAATGGATAGGGCATCCGGGCTATGAATACAGAAAGCTAATTTTATTTGGGCTACTTTTTATTAGATTTTTACTTTCAAAAGATGTTCCTAAATTTTCTTTTCAAGAACATACAATTCCTTGCTTGTTAATTGGTTGACAAGCCCCTCTAGTCCTCTATTCTTCGAACTGCCTACTTTTGGATTACCTGTCTGTTTTGATAACTCTTCTGAGTTGTAGGCTACAATTGCACGTGGAAATGAGGCTGGACCCCAGAAGATCACTGATACCATGGCCTTTATGTTTGAATCATGTTTAATGCCTAGAACCTGTCCTTGGGCTCTCGATTCCCCCTTCAGGGATCGAGATTATTACCAGTGTTGGATAGGACTGAAATCCCATTTTTCATGTGAAAAAACAAATTGTAAAAGCACTGATTTGCAGAATGAACTCAAGGAGAATGAGTGTCAAAGCCACCATGGTTGATTTGGTCTTGAATTGTTAACCTTCGCCTCGGGCTCTTATCTAGTTGACTACCAAGTGTGAAACATAATAAGTAGAAGGCATATCGGCTTATGTGGTATGTTTGTCTTGGCTCAAAATCAATATATGAATGTACAAACTGTGTTTGCTACTGTATATGAAGAAATACACGTATATATACACATTTGATCACTGTCTTGAATCGTCCTCTCTCTTGTAAGCTGTGTGCAAGTGCAGGATCGTGCATGCCGGATACTGAGAATCAATGACATTGGCATCTCTTGTAACAGAACATATTTTCATCTGTAAACAAGGAGGATTTCAATTGTCTCAGGGAATACACAGTCCTAGTTTTAGAATGATGGAAAAGAGCACCGGTTAATGTTTTTATCCCTTTTTTACTGTGAATAAATTTCCTTTCTTTCGAGAATTCCCCAGTAATCATTCTTCTTCTTGTGGGGATTTTTTTAGTTTGCTGTAAATCATTAATGGTTTTGTATTTTCTGGGTTATAAATCTATTGATAAAGGTGTGGTTGATAGCTTTGCAGGTTTGATATAATAAACAACCTGACCAGAGCTATCATCCAAAAATCAATGAAAAAGACAGTACAAACAAGTGGACCAACACATTGCACTGAAAAAAAAAATTTAATTTAATTTTTCATAAATCCTGGCTGAGAAAAGATGATCCAAAATTGATTTTTATATGCTTTTGTTTTCTTGTGATAGTTTTCAACTTGTTCTTACTCAGATGAATTTGTTATTTCGTTGTCAATTTCTGAGATAGATGAGACCAGCGTTACAAGCCATACGATTAGTTTTGGAAATACTCCAATTTTACATCGGATTCTATAAAAAGCTATTATTACATAGGATATTGTGAGGAAACATTATGATATAAATATATATATTATTTATGTATTAAAATATGAACTTCAAAAGTATTAATAATAATCGATCTAAATATTTTTATAAATTTTTAAATTAATAAATTTATCTATAAATATATAATATTTATTAATTTATTTAAGTTTAATTTAAATCAATTAAAATTAAAAAGATTTTATGCAAAATTAAACTATTTAAAATTTTAAAATTTTAATTTTAAAAGAGTTAAAAATGATTGACTAAAATATTTTTAATAAATATTTTTATAAATTTTAATTTAAATAAACTTTTTATTATTAAACTTTTTTTTTATAATTAGAGTAAAAAAAATATTAAAAATGATTGACTAAAATACTTTTAATGAAATTTTAATTTAAAAATATTAAAAGTTATCGATTAAAATATCATTAGTATTTTTTTTATAAATTTTAATTTAAATGATCTTTTTATTATTAGATTTTTTTATATAAGTATAATGATTTTTTATATCAAACAAAAATACAAATGGAATAAGATTATAGCTTAGTATGCATAGGAGTAAAATACTTATATAGAGTTTGTTTATTTAGTTGTTGTAAAAATAATTATATATGTAGTTTATATTGATAAATAAATTCATTAAAGATAATCATAATTAAGTCATTGGGGTATTTTTTTTTTCTATTTTATGCTTTTCAATTTTTGTTTTAATGTATTATCTATATATGTATATTAATGATTTTTATTAGTTATATGTTTTAGGAGCTGATCATTTAATTATTGATAACATAATTAAATTTTTTTAATCCTTTAAAATAATTTTTTAACATATCATTCTTACAGTTTAATTTGACCTATATAATTAATTTTTGTTTTGTATTGTTTTCCTCTAAAATTTAATAATTGTTATTATCATAAACAAAAACTAATATCAAATCAAATGTAAATTAATTGCATCACGTTCACCAACAATTAACACATGTGATTTATTTAACGTTTTAACTGCACTTTCCACTTATGGATTAGATGATTCAGGAGGTGACAAAACTATCAGTAGATCAAGATTGGGTCCTGTCAAATTGTCATTAGAATTGTTCATTTGCATCGAAATATTAATTGATTTAGTTTTTTCTCAAATTTTGTCTTAATATGCATGTATATATATGATTAATTTATATTTTAAAATTATTTAATCTTTCGCAATTATATTGAATTACTCACTTTTTTTGTCATCCATATAATCAAATGACCTAACGTGAATTATTGCAAGTAAAAAACTATAAGGTGAAGTAAAATTAATTAGTTTTTGCAATTGTTTTAAAAGTGTGACAAAATTTATCGAAACTATCTTTTAAATATGTTTATGTCAAAATTACATTTATTTATGAAAGTTTACATTGTTAATGGTGAAAATGAAATCATTATAAATTGTATAGGTATTGCATAACAAATTTGTTATTCTCAAAATTGAAATTTTCTTAAGAAAGCATGATAATTTCTAAGGTAAGGAATTTAATTTAATTTATTTTATATTTTAAAATTATGTATGTTAATATTGTTATTTAATAAAAATTTATGTACAATAAAATTTTTTAAATAAAAAAAAAATTAAGTTTTCAATTGATAGAACATATAATTGCATTAAATTGATGGAAGCATTAACGAAAAATTATTCTAAGCAAAAAAATGAGACAAAAAATTAATTAGTTATGCATAACTTTATTTTCTTAATACAACAAAGAAGGTTAGTGTTATATGATATTTCAATGAAAATATACAAATGTATGGATTTTAAATTTTTTAAAAAACTAATATGAAACTCTTTTATTTGAAAAAACATTGTATACTAATTTATTTTCTCTTTTATATTAGTTGAAAAATATTCACTATTGTATCAAAAATTTTAAAGTTGCTATATTAAGTAATAATTGTTCAAAAGAATTGAAATTCATCAAATTAATTATCATTTTACATCTAAAATAAATTTATAAATTATAATTTAACTAAACTTAAAAGTAATTTAAAAGTATTCATTATCAAAATTCATATGATAAATCTTTATTAATTGTGCATTTAATATTTCAATCATTTTGAATTTTGATTTTTTATAATTTTAAGTTGAATTTTAAATTTACAAGCAGTGACTAATTAGGTTGAGTCAAGTTTTATCATCTAATTTTATAAATAATATACTCAATTATTTACTTATGCACTTGAGTAAATTTGACTCAAAAATTGATGCATGTTTCTCTTTGTTTAAAAAGCTAGATTCAAATTGTCTTAAATTCAAATAAAAAAAATTATTCTTAATTACTTATAATTGCAATTTCACTTTATAAATACTTTTAAAATTAATTAATTAATTTAACCACAAAGACAATGAAAATAAAATATTGAATATGAATGAAAAAAAGCTTCAATAAAAAATTTTTAAATTATTACAGAAGATTAATAACTAATATTTGATTTTGATTGGATTATTATTTTAATTCGAATTTTGATTATGTTCTATCATTTCAGGTTTTAAATAACTACTAAGTTATTAACTTTTTAAAATCAATTGAAATTGAGTTTAAGTTAGTTCATTTTTATAATTATGTATAACATATTATTTTTAATTAAATTAAAATTTAAAATGAGTAAAAATTTTATTTATACTCAATTTGAATTTTAAATTGTTTTAAATATGAGTTAATTAATCCAAGTTATTTTAGTAATATTTTTACGACACTAGTAATGAATTTCAAAATAGACACAATACAATAAAATTTTAAGTGTAAAAGTGATAAAAATATTAATAATAATTAAAAAAAATCCTTATATGTAAGTTTTGTAGAGATTAAAAAATATTTCTTTTTTAAGGATTTTGAAATTCATATTGTAGAAATATTAATCTAGATCAACAAGTTTATAATAATTTATTTGTTAATCAAATTGCTATTTATATGGATTGAGAAAAAGAATTCAAATATTTCATTTGAAAGAGAACATATCATAGTTTAAACTTATTCATAAAGACAACGTAGAGTTAAATATTATTTACGTTGTTATGATCCCTTATAATATTCTTTACTCTTTTCAAATGAAGAATTTGATTGACACCAAAATATCAAAAAAGTCGTTTTGAATTATCGTAAGAATAAAGTAACAATTAAAAATATACTATCTTTTATTTAGTAGGAGAAATTTTTTATGGAGAATGTGAAATATTCTTTAATCTTTCTAAATGGAGAAGTTGATTGGCATCAAAATATTAAAACATTAATTTTAAATAATGTAATAAGAATGAAATAACAATTAAAAATATATCATCTTGTTGTTTAGCAAAAGAAATTTTTTATAGAGAATGAGAAGATGTTATTGTGAATTTAATATTTTTGAAATTGTCGTTTGTTTAATTTTTATAAATTTTATTTAGTAAATTCATTTTCATTACTTTTATTATATATATAACAAATTTTTTATCCAAATTTATATACTTAAGACTTAAAACATAAAACAAAGTTTATTACTTCTATTGATGATAGAATACTTCGAAATTTTCAATCTTTTATAAGCAATTTACTTCACTAACATATATGAAAACAAATACACTAATAATTCAATCAAATCATCAATAAAACTTATATTAATATGTATTATTTTACCATGAACTAAAAAATGTGAAAAATATTTTAGAAATATTGACTTAATATATTTTATATATTTATTGAATTTAGTTTTAATACTTACATTAGTATAAAAAACTATGATTTTACCTTATCATTATATGTTAAATTACAAATAGTAAATTTTGAGCATTTACTCATATTTTTCAAGTCATGTAAATTTGAACTTTTTTTTTTACCTTACAAATTATATCATCTAGCATAAATTGTGATTACTTTCTTTTTGGATATATATAAATAAATGATAACATATTAGTAAATAATTAATAACTCAGTAACTAATCATTGAAAAAAATATAATGATATAACTTAGTAGTAATTATCGATAAGTTAATAGTAAATTAGTAATAACTTAATAGTAAATGAATGATAATTTAATAGTAAAATTGATAACTTTCTAATAAATAAGTAATAATATAATAATATATGCATAAAACCTTAATACTAAATCAATTATAATATAATTGTAATGCATAATAACATAATATTAAATCAAAGATAACTTAACAAAACAAAAGTGATAACTTAATAGTTAATTATTGATAACTGAGCAAATAAATCAATGATAACTTAATAGTAAATTAGTAATGATTTAATAGTAATTAATTGACAATAGTAAATTATAAATAGCTTAATAATAAACAAATAATAAATTAATACTAAATA